TTTTCCCCCCCAGTACTGGGAATGGAACCCAGGGGCATGCTAACATTGAGCTACATCCTCAGCCCTTTATTTTTATTTTTAGACACTGTCTTACTAAGTTGCCTAGCCTGCTCTCAAGCTTGCAATCCACCTGCCTCAGCTGTAATCATAAGCATGCACCACCATTCCTGGCTAGTAAAAATATCTTAATACAGCATAATATAAAACATTGAGGATTATTTCTCCTTAAACTCGTAAGGTTCTGGGCTGGGGTTGTGGCTCAGCGGTAGAGCGCTTGCCTCGCACATGCGAGACCCTGGGTTCGATCCTCAGCACCACATAAAAATAAACAAGTGAAATAAAGGTGTTGTGTCCAACTACAACTAAAAAATAAATATTAAAAAAAAAACTCATAAGATTCAGGTGGGAGTGTATCTCATTGGAAAAGTACTTACCTAGCATGCAAGTAACCCTGGGTTTGATATCTAGCACTGCAAAACAAAACAAAACTTACCAGTAGTTTAACTTATAACTGAGCACCTTTTCTGTGTCTTAGAATATTGTCATGTTTGTAAGTTTGGGTCAGTTTTTCATTTGTATGTTCCTTAAACTTTTTAGTCTTTGCCATAGCTTTTCCAGTATTGTGCTGACAAAAGATTATTTCAAAAGGAGTTTACAGCTGGTTTCATGTCTGTAACTCAAGTCTCCTTGAAATATCACCTTTGAACATTCTTGTCAGATTCAAGGACCGTCTTGGATTTTTTTTTATCTTTAAAATATGCAAGTAGGTCTGGGGATGTGGCTCAAGCGGTAGCGTGCTTGCCTGGCATGCGTGCGGCCCGGGTTCGATCCTCAGCACCACATACAAAAAACAAAGATGTTGTGTCCGCCAAAAACTAAAAAATAAATATTAAAAAAAAACTCTCTCTCTCTCTCTCTCTCTCTTTAAAAAAAAAATACGCAAGTAGACTCTTGTACAAAGGGTCATGAAAGCTACAGTTGATATTTCCACTTGTTCTGTACTAAAGAAGTCAGAGCTATTTTCGTAACCTAAATAATGGAAAGATTTTTATTAAACCATGATTATGTCCCCAATCATCTCACTAATACAGAGTTTTCAAATCATTGCAGAGGTAATTTTTGTATTTTTAAGCATATTTTCAAAATAGATTATTGACTGTCTAATTATCTAGAGAATGTAAAAACAAACATTAAACTGCCTTCACTTCAAAAGTGAAATAGGGGCCAGGGTTGTGACTTAGTGATAGAGTGCTTTCCTAGCATTTGTAAGGCACTGGGTTCGATTCCTGTCACCACATAAAAATAGATAAAATAAAGATAATGTGTTCATCTACAACTAAAAAATATATCTKAAAAAAGTATATTATTTATATACCTGTGAAGAAACAATTGGTTGAGGAAAGTGGGAAGAATTGTGCAAAAAGATGTAGGGTTGAAAGAGGCTAGAGAAGCTGTGCACCTAGTAGAAAAGAAATGCAAAGCAGGACAGGTCAGCAGAGTCCTAGCACCTTGACTCAGGACTTTTGGTGAATCTATTTAGATGATTCTGGGGACTGCGACTGTTGCTCAGAGGCAGAGTGCTTGCCTAGCATTTGTGAGGCACTTGGTTTGATCATCAGCACCACATAAAAATAAGGTGTCTATCTACATCTAAAACAAATTTTTWAAAAAAATATGATCTGTGTCTACTAAATCACAAGACCACAGCCACTGCTTTAAACTGCTTGAAGTGTGGGAGGAGGCAAAACCATGACCCAAATCCCTGATCTTTGCTATCAAAATCCTTTTTCTCAGGTGCCATTTACTAGATACAGCTGGGAGACAGGCGCTAACTGAACTGTTTCTTAAAAATTTAGTGGTCATGTCATTCTATCTCTCAACTTTTATCCTCTCAACTACTTTTTGTGTGTGTGTGTGTGTGTGTGTGTGTGTGTGTGTGTGTGTGTGTGTGTATGTGGTGTGCTGGCAGTTAGAACCCAGAGCCTTGTGCATGTACCAGCTGATCTATATCCCCAGCCTTATCCTTTCAACTTCTATTTTGCTCCTTTGATACAGTCAGAGGTTAAGAATCCAGGAAGATGAGCTGTAATAGTTTTCACATTTTATTGTAATAAGTTACTTCATGCTTCTCTCACATATTAGACAGGATATTCCACGAGGGCAGATGCCGTGTTATTCACTGCTAGATCCCTGGTACTTAGTATATGAATAAGTGAACCTGATTTATTATTTTGGAATGTGTCTCAAACTGTTTTAAATTTATTTTTCTCTTTATTAGATATGCAACCATTGTCTCCAATTTCTGTCCATGAACGGTACAGTTCTCCTACTGCAGGGAGTGCCAAGAGAAGACTTTTTGGAGAAGACCCCCCAAAGGAAATGCTAATGGACAAGATTTTGACAGAAGGAACAAAATTGAAAATTGCTCCTTCTTCAAGCATTACTACTGAAAATATATCCATATCACCTGGGCAAACTCTTCTAACAATGGCCACAGCCACAGTAACAGGGACAACGAAACATAAAGTTACAATTCCATTGCACGGTAACATTTTAATAAAGCACTTTAAAATCATATTTTTTTCTGAGTTAGGAAAAAATTTAAGCAGTGTCTTAGTGGATTTGGATCATGTAATCTTTCTAACTCAGCATTTTTTTCTCAAGTTTTTTTTTGTTGTTGTTGTTTTAATAGACTTGATTTTTAGAACAGTTTTAGGTTCACAGCAAAATTGAGAGGAAGATACAGACATTTCCATCCTCACACACACACACCTTCCCAACCATCAGCATCCTACACTAGAATTCGTTACATTTGATGAACCTACATTGAAACATCACCCAAAGCCCATAGTTTACATTAAGGTTCACTCTTGGTGTATTTTAACCATATTGATATATATTTACCATTATAGTATCATGCAGAGTAGTTTCACTGTCTAAAAATCCTCTGTGTTTCACCTTTTTATTGAACCTGTACTGCTTTTGAATTTTTACATTTTTTAAATTTATTACCCTTTTTGTTAGGACTTGTTTTGTTGTGTCAACTTCTCAAATGAATGTATTGAGCAAGTATTTTGTATTTTGATAAAAAAAAAAGTCAAAACAGAACAAAATTTGCTTTTCCAAAATAATTTAAAGTATAAGAACATCACAGGCACATACAAAAATGAGAACAAAGTTTGTTTTTCTAATTCCAGTATAAATAAAATAGAATATTCTCATTTCAGGAGAGAAATGAAAAAAGAATTCAGTTATAAGATACAATTTCTAAAAAAAAAAAAAATAATAAGAAATTTCAAAAAAAAAGATACAATTACTATTTTGTAATCTTTGTCTCCTTTCGTAACATACTCCTATGCTAATATAAACAGAGACATATATATGTTTATGTGTACATGTTTATATAATTGACAAACTATATACAATTGAAAACTTTCCTAGAACACATTGCTCATTTCTAAAACTGGGAACTCTTGCTCATACATTCAGGTGTTGCCAATGATGCTGGAGAAATCACACTGATACCTATTTCCATGAATACAACTCGGGAGTCCAACATTGAGAGTCCTGTATCATTTACTGCTCAGTCATTAATTGGTGCTTCTCCAAAACATACCCATCTGACTAAAGCACAAGAAGTTCATATGACTGGAATAAGCAAACCAAAGAGGACTGGGTCCTTAGCACTGTTTTACAGAAAGGTATGTGTTATAGTATTTGAAAAGAGCTCATTTAAACCATGCAAGATGAGAAAAACATTGACTTTTTTATTTATTTATTTATTTATTTATTTTTGGGTAATCTACATAAGATAAAATTTGCCATCTTAGTTGTGTGGATGGTACACACCTGTAATCCCAACTACYGGGGAGGCTGAGACAGGCAATCACAAGTTTCAGGCCAGCCTAGGCAATTTAGCAAGAACTTGTCTCAGAATAAAATTAAAAGGGTGGAGAAATTGCAGTGATAGTGCATTTGCCTTGCATGCATGAGGCTCTGGGTTCCATCCCAGCACTACCAAAAAAATTAAAAATAAATGGAGATCATAGTTTTTTTTATTTTTGGTGCTGGGGATGGAGCCGCAGGGGAGTTCTACCACTGAGCTACCTCAGCACTTTTCATCCTTTTCATGTTTTACTTTAGACAGTCTCACTAAGTTGCCAAGGCCGTCCTCAAACTTCAAATTTGCCACTTCAGGCTCCCAAGTCACTGGGATTACAGGTGTATACCACTACACCCAGCCAACTTAAACTTATTTTTTTTTARTTTTTTATTTGTTAATAGACATTTATTTATAATTTTTGTGTGTTGCTGAGAATCGAAACCAGTGCCTCACACATGCCAAGCAAGTGTTCTACTACTGAGCCACAACCCCGGCCCCATCTTAAACATTTTTGAGTGTATAGTTCAATGTTAAATATATATATATATATATATTTTTAAGAGAGAGTGAGAGAGGAGAGAGAGAGAGAGAATTTTTTTGTTTAAATATTTATTTTTCAGTTCTTGGCAGACACAACATCTTTGTTGGTATGTGGTGCTGAGGATCGAACCCAGGCCGCACGCATACCAGGCGAGCGCGCTACCGCTTGAGCCACATCCCCAGCCCAATGTTAAATATATTTATATTTTTCTGTAGCCATTTACACCATCCATTGCCAGAACTTTTCATCTTCTCACTCTTCCCTCCTCTCCCTCAAACCCCTGGCAACCACTAACTTATTTTGTAGCTCTTTGAATGTGATTACTCTATATACCATATAATCATATAATATTTTTACCTTTTGTGACTGGCTTATCTCACTAAACATAATGTCTTCTATGTTCATCCATGTGGTAATATGTTAGAATTGCTTTCCTTTTTAAGGATAAGTAATACTTTGTTATATGTGTGTACAACATTCATCTGTCAGTGGACATTTGGGTTGGTTTCACCTTTTGTCTATTGTAAATAAAATGCTGCTATGAACACTGGTACTGTTTGAATCTCTGTTTTCAGTGTTCTGGATATTTTCCCAGAATTGAAAAAAATAACTCAGTATTTAATTTCTTGAAAAACTACCATACTATTTTTCATAGTGGCTATACCATTTTATATTTCTTTTAGCAGTACACAGTTCTCCTTGCCAATAGTTGTTATTTTCTGGACTTTYAATTTTTTTTAGCCATCTAATGGGTGTTAAGTAGAATCTCATTGTAGTTTGGATTTTCACTTTCCTTATTATTGATGTTAAGCCTCTTGTCATGGGCTTAGTGGCCTTCTATGTGTTGTCTTTGGAGAGATGTCTATTCAAGTACTCTGCCCAATGTTTTTTCGGTAAATTTGTCTTTTTTTCTTTCTTTCTTTTCTTTTCTTTTTAGTTATAGAGAGACACATAACTTTATTTATTTTTATGTGGTGCTAAGGATCAAACCCAGTGTCTGTAAGTGCTGTACCACAGAACTACAACTGCAGCCCCTCCAACTAATTTTTTTTTTAAGTTTTTTATCTATTTTTATGTGGTGTTGAGGATTGAACCCAGGGCCTCACATGTGCTTAAGCGAGCGCTCTACTGCTGAGCCACAACTCGAGCCCCATCTGAATAATTTTTAATTTTAATTCATTTTCTGGTTGAGTTATATGAGCTCTTTAAATATATTTTTTTAATATTTATTTTTTAGGGGTAGATGGACACAACACAATGTCTTTATTTTTATGTGGTGCTGAGGATT